GGACAGCATCTTGTAATTATTTCCCAGAAAAGAAAGGGTGCTTTCAGTTGCTGAGAAGACCTTAAACATATGACTTGTAGACACATTTCTGAAGCTTCCCGTTTCATTTTTCTGATCCCCACAATGAGCCAGTCGGGTATTGTGAAAGGGTTAGCTAACTATTTGTGCTTGCTTTACTCCTCTTTGCCCGTGCAACTTCCATTTCAAGACTGCGTTGGAACACGCAGCGGGTGATGACAGGGCGAGAAAGTTAAAAGGCAATTTTGGCCATAACACGATGGGTGCTTTAGCACTGCCTTCCCTGCCTCATGCCTTCCAGACACATTTGGACTGCCACACCCAGAATTCCCAGTCAAGAGCCCAAGGGCTGGATGGGAATTCTGGGAGTTGTGGTCTAAATGCCTCTGAAGGCCACCAGGTTGGGGAAGGCTGCAAGTCTAGCGTATGCTTGTGTGGTGTAGAGATGTGCGGATGCTAGAAATTCCAGCTTGTTGGAGCTTGAAGGAGCTCCTGCCTGCTCCAGTGCAACGGTTAGAAGTAAGCTGGGCCAGGTTTCTTTTCTTGTGGACTTCCATCTCTAAGATACATAATAAATCAATCATCCTGACTGTGTGTGTGTGTGTGTGTTTTAATTGCACAAATTGTCCAATTTGCATGAATTTCTGCCATGCAATGCCCATCCTGCACACCAAGGCATTTTCTGCGCTTTGCACAATTTTGCACTTGGAAAGTGTGTGGTCCTCGCATTCTCGTCACAAACTGCACAAGGAGTACATGCTATTCAGGTACCAATATGCTCACAGTGGGGGATTTTCTCCCTACACATTTTCTTAGCATGTAAGTGTCTGTGTCAAAGACAGGGGTCCATGATCTGTCTTGTCTTGCACCCTAGAAAGGTGGTTCCCATGCTGGAGTGCAGAACTAGAAACTGGAGAGTTTGTAACCCCCACCCCACCCTTTTTGGCATGAAGCTCTTAAGGCATTTCTGTGTGCATTTTTGTGCATATGTTTGAGATTTATCCACTTTGAAATGCATCCATAGTGTTGAAGACTTTTTCTTTGGATCCATGAATCAGATTGCAAGGTAGAAATGCACAGACTAGACCTGTGTCTAAGTCCATGTTCAGCCTGGAAGGTGCAAACTGGGTAAGATCCTGATCCAAAAAAAAGTTTTCATGCACTTCAATCACAGACCATATGATGACAACTATGGGAAACGGTGAGCTTCCTCCATGGGCAGATGGTCGGCCATTCTGGGGAGAGGATACTAGAGAACCACAGGTGTGATCCAGTGGAGCAATTCTTGCTTTCTCGTCCAGAGCTAACCCTCCAGTTGCAGACTGTGCCCAGGTCCATGCTCAGTTTCAGGTGGTGCGAATGGGCCAGTTCTGCCCAGCTGCAATTACCTTCTCCTCTGTGCCTAGCATTCAGTGGCAGGACATTGTGGTGCATGAACTTGCTTGGCGTTTGCTTGCACGCTGGCTCTTGTTTGCCTTCTACTTGATTGCCAGAACAATGGGGACAACGTGCTGCATGCTGTCGAAGACCAGGAGTGTGCCCATCTGCCATGCCTGTGTGTTGCCAACTCGTCTTGTCACTGCACTCCCTGGCAAGTGCCCTGCTTTGCATTCCCACCTAGCTTGTCTCCGTTGTTGCGACACGGATGGGCCAAGAATCCGTGAGGCTTGGGAGAACTGGTGAGATGCCAGGTAGAAGCATCTGGGGATGGGTGGGGGGCACTTCATACTCTGAGGCTGATATTGATTTCACAATGCTGAACATGGGGGAGGCTGTTGTGACTCTCCAACAAAAATTAAATGGGGGGGAAAGGTCTAATAGGGGCACTGACTACTTCCAGGATGAGTGCCTCTGGGCAAAAGTCCACCCTGATCATAGAATCATAGAATAGTAGAGTTGGAAGGGACCATGAAGGCCAGCAGGTCCAACCCCTGCTGTTGCAGGACACCATGTTACACCATCCCACTCAGATGGCTGTCCAGTTTCTGGTATGGGAGAGCTGCCCACCTCTCCAGGCAGCTGGTCCCACTGTCGTATTGCTCCGACAGTGAGGACGCTTTTCCTGGTGTCCAGCCTGAATCTGGGTTGTTGCAGTTCGAATCAGTTATTCCGTGTCCTACATTCTGGCACCAGCAAGAAGAGATCTTGGCCTTCCTCTTTGTGGCAGCCTTTGAGGGACTTGTGGAGGGATATCATGTCTCCCCTGCCCCCCAGTCTTTTCTTCTCAAGGCTGAACATGCCCAGTTCTCTCAGCCTCTCCTCACAGGGCAGCGCTTCCAAGCCCCGGATCGTTGTTGTTGCCCTGCACTGGACCTTTCTGATGTACCTGCATCTTCCTTAAACCTTGATCAGCACTGCCCCTGTTGAAATGATAACCCAGGTAAGGTGCAAGGGGGCTGGTCTTCAGTCCATCGTGCAGAGAGTCTGGCATCATCCAGGCGCACCTCTGCCGAGCTTTCCCAGAGCCTCCTTGATGATGATTTCAAGAAAAAACATGCCTCTTGCTAAGCTTGAGCCAGACTTGCACAGCGGGTGTTTATTTTTATTCCTGCTTTGGATCGAAATCCCACCTTCTCACAGAGCACTCAGCACTCTCACAAAGCCTCATTCTCCTCCAGCTGATCTCAGCCTTATCTCCACAATGACGTTCCTGTGAGGTGGGTTGGGCTGAGAGCCTGGGACTGGCTCAGAGTGGTTGGCCCCATGGCTGAGCAAGGACTAGAACCCAGATCCCCTGAGCCCCGTCCTCTTAACTACTACACCACAATAGGGGTCAAATTTGCAGGGTCTGCACAGCACAGGGATTGGGGGTGGCCAAAGAGGTCTTGGGTGACGGGGAACGATGCGCATGCCATTTCCAGCAAGATCTGCTTTTGCTCTGATCTCCCCTTCCCTTGGCCAGGGCCTCATGCAGAGTCAAGGCAGGGCAGTTCTTTCCGCTCAACTCTGACACATGCAGTACTTAACTTTCACCTTGAGTTTCACCTCCAGCATGAAGCAGGCACTCTATTTGCAGGCTTCCTCCAGGTAAACTTCTTTTGAATGATAGCACGGAATGGGCAATTGGCAGTGCAAACTGAAGGGGGAGAGAGAGAGAGAGAGAGAGAGAGAGAGAGAGAAATAGAAAGAGAGCAATCTTTTTTCTCCTGCAAACTGTGTTTCCCTCTCTCTCTTGCTGTTTGAGCCATGAAAGTGATTGCAATAGCCAGCCGTGCTGTTTCCAGGGCTGGATTAGTCATTCTCTGCTGTCTTCTGTCGAACCGCGACTCCACCACATTCCGCATCCCTGCTATGATGCATTATGCAAGAACACTGCTGGTTTGGGGAGTGGGAGGGGCTCATGTCCTACTTCTCACACTGGGCAACCCATAATGTTTTGCTGCTGTCATATCGCCTGGCAGGGAACAAGCGGCAGCTCCGTGGCAGAACTCCTGGTTTGTACACGCGTGGCTCCAGGTTCAATGCTTCCTTTTTTGAATTTAAAGGTCTCAGACAGCAGGCCTGAAATAACAGGAAAAAAAATCTGCCTGGAGTATTTGGAAATGATTGTCAAGGTCTGATCTCAGATGGACCCTTGGAGGGGGTATCCTACCTCTAGTGTGGTCCTGGGGCGCCTTTCCAGGGTCTGTAGACTGGTGTTGTCAATTGCTCTAGAATTGCTCCCTCTACTGAGAAGAATGTGGGAAAATGTGGATAGGCACTCGTGGTGGATGTGCTACTACGTAGTATCGGAAGGAATAGATACTGCTTACCCCAAAGCAGGAGCGGTCAGACAGTCTAGGGGCATTTAAAAAGAAGCCGTCCGAGTGGGATGGTGTAACTTGGTATCCTGCAACAGCAGGGGGTTGGACCTGATGACCTTCTTGTCCCCTTTCCACTCTACTATTTTATGATCCTGTGATTCTTCAGGTGTGTTGGACTCCAACTCTCAGTATCCTTGCTCACAGGCTGTGCTGTCAGAGGCTTCTTGAAATCTAGAACTTCTCCTGGCCAGTCTCTCCTGGCCGTGTGTAATGCAACACTGAGGCCCACATTTGGAGTTGATTCTACGGGAGGCCTGTAGGAGGATTGAGGGCTGAGAGTTAGGAGCAATCGTCTTGGATCTTCTGTGGTGCCCAATCATTTGTTGGGCACATTGAGTGCCTCATGCTAATTAGCCAAGGGTTTACTGTGTGGCTTATGAGCTGCCAAAGGTTTACTGTGCCCTGCAACTCTATCCACTGACTGGCAGCATCTTCCCAGGGATTCAAACAGGTGTCTTTCCAGACCTACTAAGAGATGCCAGATCATAAACCTTAGGACAATCCACACACACACACGTACATACGTAGGTTCTACAGCAAAGTCATATCTCCTACTCTGCTCTTACGGACTTTCGTCAAGTGATGCCAGTAGGCAGGGGAGGAAAAAACTGAGCTTAAGATTCAATTGTTGGTGCTGGCTAAAGATGTCCCATCTAATGGCTATTTTGGACCTTCATTGAAGGATGTCCACCAGTTGCAGGCCAGGCACAGACCCTTCTGAAAGACTTTCTCCCCCATCTGCATATGCCTACCTGTATTAAACTTTTGGACAGGTCTTCTCAGAGAACACTTCCCAGGAATTGAGTTGCCATGCTCTGGGAGCCAGGGACACTCAATTTGTGGGCAACAAGCAGAACAATTTCCTGTGACTGTATCTTGCCAGCAAAGAGAAACATCCTACAATACTGCTTAATGTTCTTTGTTACTGCATTAGATTTGGTTCTATGGGAATCTTTGCCCTCCCTCCCTTCCTCCCTCCCTCTCTCTCTCCCCGTCTGTTTCTACGAAATGTGATTTTATGCCCCAAGGCAATAACAAGAAAATGTAAAAGAGAAGGTGTGATGTGAGGGACCATTTTTAATCTCCTGGAGGTTGAATCCAGCCCTGCTATCATTTGCACAAGGTGGTACGAGCAATGAACAAGCAGATATGAAAAGTCCTCTCTCTCTGTTTTCTCAGGTTCTGCTGCTTGCATTCGCAGAAGATTTAGAATGCATCCCTGGATTCCAACAAAAGGTTTTTCATATCGAACACCCACCTGCATTCACAGCGGACCAGCCAGTTCTGAATTGTAAGAAATCTTATTTTCATATGCCATTTTTATACATTGTATTAACTAGTCTGGGTGTTCCTATCACAATTTGGAACAGAGCCGGGATTCACTGCCCTTCTTTTATAGGAAGCACCTCTCTCTGGTTTCGACAGACTATTGCTTCGTTTTATCAATGCTGCTTCCTAAGCCAATATTCATGCAGATGTTGAGCTTTTCTGTGCATTGAGGCTGTCTATTTGTATTGCTCTCCTTTGGTACTGAGTGTCCATCAATGGCTCACTTCAATATTTACATGGACTCTGGGAATAATCCAGTGTTCTTTCTCCTCTGTAATTCAACATGTGCAATCCGTTAGTGAGCGGCCATGATGGAGGGCCTTGACTAGCAGGCGATTGTGTGTCCTTCAGTTTGCCCCTGTGTTGGCCATCGACATTGGAATCTGGCCCAAGACCTCAGTTCAGAAGGCATTTTCCCTCTTCAGTGCGTCTGTCTGCAGTGGTCTTCATGGCATGTGGTGGCAGGGAGGGGGGTATTCGAATGGCCAAATCCCATTTCCAGCAGACAGGTGTTGAATTAACATGTTGGCGCTGAAGCAACATGCCCTGTGAGCTTGGCAAACAGAGGACAAACGGACCATGCAGTGTCAATGGTACGTTCAGCACTTGAGTTGTTTGATCCAGGTAGTTTGGAGACCGGGAAAGGACAATAATATTCACAGTGTTTTAAAATGGACGTATTGGCTGTAGATAAAATGGTTATGTAACCTCAAGGCTTGGCTAGAGACCAGTCCTCTCAGAGTGTCTCAGAGTGGAAGGAGAAGGTCGTTGACAAGGTAGGATGACAGCAGTACCCGTCCTGGGGAAACCAGAGACGCCCCTGGGCTTGTGATGCAGAAGATTTGGGGGTGTGCCTTGGATGAAGCCTGAGTTTTGATTCATCTTTGTTATAAAACTTCATACTTGCTCACTGTTCTCCAGGTACATGAAGCAAGTTTCTACAGCTGTGAGCAGTTGCTAGGGGATGAGCAATTACTGTTCTGACGGTTTTTTCTGCCCATTTTTCATATAAGTCCTCTTTGGATCTGGAAGAAGAGAATACAAATCCCCTAGCCTGCAGTATCATGCATAGTAGAATATGCATCTCTCCAATCTTCTTAGCTCATTTAATCAACAAGAACTTTATATAACAGGAAAAAATTACTTCCTAATATTATTCCCTTGAACATGTGTGAGTTCAGCATTCTCTGCTTCCATAAACTCTTCCTTACCATGCTACTGAGCTCTGATTTCTAATCAGTGATGCTTTGCACCTGTGTCCTTGGTTTTGGTGACCTGATTCCTTGGTGAATCTTTGGTATCTCCAGGCATTGAGTACAGGCGTCCTTCTGCCTCTGTTTAATGGGGCTTGTTTTCCTCACTGTGTCCCACCTTTCCAAAAGAATGTGTTCCAGTCTGAAATTCCTGGGGATTGGTTGTGTTGAGAGGATGCACATGACCTCTGAATACTGCATATCCAACATCCCTAGAATTTAGCTGTGTGATATTCTCAGAATAAGTTTTGGTCAGTGAAAGATTAATGGCATGCTTTTGAGGAGGCAAACACAACCGTGTGTTTCCCCAGCACTGCCTAGAGTAGTTCTCAGGGCAGGAAGGAAATGTGTATCCCAAGAAGATGTGGGGAAGAGAGAAGTTATTAAATATGCCATCCTATGGAGGTGTGAAGGCCTCTGACAAGGAGTGGGAGGAACAATGGAGGGGGACTTTACCTCCCATGTTGCTTTCTCACTAGGTGGTTATTTCTGCCATCCAGCATTGGTGCTTTGGAGAGCAAAGGAGGTTGGACTTTCTACTTTTCTGTCCATTTGGCAACATCAAAAGGACAGGCTGTTTCAGTGATCTGGGGTTACCCAGAAAATCTTGTTGGTGTGAAACTGACACAATAATTAAGTCTCAATTATTAATAGTTAGTGGAAGAAGAAAGGAGGAAAGGCCACTGCTTGTGGACTTTAAGCAGGCTAAGAAACAAGGAGGTGACATTAATCGCAGGGACCAAGATTGGCTTGAGATATAAATGAGGATGGATTTCGTGCACCCCAGTTCTAGATCATTTAAGTTGGTAGGTCCTAATGACAGTGGATTGAAGCCTCCATTCACATTCAATATCAGGCGCATGATTCCAGTCCATGGTGCTCCCCATGCTCTCTATTTGTGCCAGGATCTGTAGGCTTGTGAATCACTCTGGTATTTCCACTCCCATAAGTATGAATCACTGAAACATAGACCTGGCTAATGTTCAGAAAACCACATGTAACATTTTTTCCTCCCGTTCTTCGGCTTGATCACATTAATTGTCCAACAAAGTTTGCCCTTTTGCTGACAGAAGACTGAGGCTCAGAGAAAAAGAGAACAATCTGAAGGCTTTTCAAAGAGTGGGTTGCCAGTTATGTACCAAGGACTTTTCAGATCACACTCCATGCCTAGGGCCTGGGGCTGATGAATGATGCATGCTTACTTCAGAGTAAGCTTTCATAGGATTGAGCAGGTAGTTTTTCCAAGAGAAAAGTAGCACTGGAGAAGGGTCTAGAACTCAAGAAGTGAGTCATGTTTGCACCTACCGCTTTCCTGCTTGCAAACACTTCCAGAATCTTCTCCTTGGGGGCAAACATAGATGAAGCAAAGGCTTGTTGTGGTAGGCAAGTATTGCACCTTCCAAGGGTGCTTTCAGTCCATGCTCACCACCCTTACGAGATGGCTGTGATGTGCATAGGTCTATCTGAGATTGTGATGGCCCATTATTTTTCATAGGAGCACTTATAGTCCAACCAAGTGGCTAGCAAGTCTTCCTGATCCCAGCATCTGCTCCCTTCAGCAGAGGGCTCACCTGTTTTGAGGAGGAAGAAAAGCTCTGTGAGGAAGCAGATCATGATTTCAGAACCCCAGATCTTGTCTGTTCCTGTCCCCAACCAAACTGGATTCCAGGCAATGAGCTGTTTATATGTTCAGTGCACCAAAATGGTTAATATCTGGGGTGCTTAGCAGAAGGACATATGCATGCCCTATACAACTTTGGAGCTGGTGGATCAGTCTAGCAGCAGGGGCCACAGCAGGTCTTTGAATGGTCCTGGACTCATGCAAAAGACATCCTCAATGTTGCCCTCCCTAGGTGAGGTCACTATCTCAGGGTCTTCGTCACCAGCTGCTGCTGCTGCTGCTGCTGCTCCTCCTCCTCCTCCATCATGGCTACCCTTTACTTGCTTGGATGGCACAGAATTTGTGAGCATGCAAGCCATGGCTTCCATGCAGCTCCTCCATCCACCATTGTCTGGGCCATGGCAAGAGGCAATTCGCCATGGTGAAGCCAGGGTTCTGCCTTGACCAGGTGCCTGGCCATGCTTCCTCTTGACATTCCTGGGAAGCTCCATAATGCAATCCAAAGTCAGTTCAGCACAGAAGTGCCCCTGAAGTGGAGACTTTTCAGCAGACTCATCAGTACTTTTTATTGTCCTTTTGACTATGGTAAGCATTTTTATTATCCCCATTACTCAAGAACAATGTAATTTAGCAGTTATATCTGCATGTGTGGAGTATGCAAATTAATAGAGAAAATATGCAAAGCAAGTCCAATGATGATTGCTTTTGTAGCATTCAATAAACCAAGTACTTTTAATTCTAGGCTGAAGAGTGAAAGAAACAATTCTATTTTTGTCTCAGAGTCCCTCCCTGCCCCTTCTCCAGATCTTTTTAATTTAAGTAGGAACATGCCACAAAACCCATTTCTATGGTTTCCTCCAGTAATTAAGTCTAGGGGTTATGGTTGTTTTTTACGTGGTTTCTAGATAGCTGTAAATGCCGTTTTGTTCATTACCCTTGGAAACTTACAAGAGGAAGAACGAGGCCAATGTGAAGAGGCATTCACATCTTCTTGTTTAAGAAAACAACTATCTGCACGCAGGTCTAAACAATAAAAAGTGGTTTCACACCATCAGCAAACTTTTGCAATGCCTCCCGCTGAGAAGTAAAAGAAAGTCAATTGAAGGTTTGGGATCAGTAAGGCAGGAATATCACTATTAAAGAGGGATGGTTGGATCTGTCTATCTTTCCCTTCTATTCTGTCTCATAAGAAGTCCTAGCAAACGTTCAACTGCATTTTCCACCACAGGTCTGCTCCTAATGTCCAACCAAATTATGTTTTCCTCTAACTAAACCCATTAGCTCTCAGGAGAGAATGGAAACCTTGGCCTATTTCCACATTAAATCCAACTCTCTAATTGCAATGCAACCCTTCCTATTTCAGTGACTGGCATTTGGGGTGGGTGCATGGATTTGGGAAATCTTTCCCTTGGCAATTGCCACTGAAGGAGGAAGAAACCTGCTAGGAGTTGACGTGATCCATAATATCCTAGCTTTGAAGCATTCTTTTCCTGCTTTTACTCACCCCACCCCTTGAATATCCCTAAATTATGTCTGGCATCCCAAGAGGTTTCCACAGGACAAGGAAAAACAGGGCACAACTAACAAATTCGTGTAGCAACTGTGGACACATGGCTACATGTGCTTCTAATTTCTCAGGGCTGCCTTCCTCTTTCATGAATGGCCTCTTTATCTTTTGATGAGTGTCTAAAACGATTGGCAAAACGCCTCTCTCCATCTCCATCCATCTCTCAGGAAATCAGCAGGATTTCATCTGAGCATTTCACGGCTCAAGATATATTGGAAAAGGCTTCTTTGCTGCCATGTGCTTTTGCAGTCATCGTCTTGCTATTTGAGCACTTGAGACTGTGCTTTGTAGCAACTGCATATTCTGTAGAATTCTGACTGTGGGATGTTCTTTGGAGGCCATCTAGTCCACTCCCTTGCTCAGTGCAGAAATGCTGCAACTATAGTATCCTTGGCTAAGACAACTGAGGACCACCCAACTGAGGACCACCCAACATATTTCCAGCAAAGGCCTTTTGAAACACTATTGCACTATTGAAGAGTACAACCCTTAATACGCGTCTTCTAAGATTTAACCAAAAC